AATAAAATAATCGACGTAAATTAAGACAAATTGATTATTTGATCATTGCTAAGCTTGTAAACCTCATAATGATTTTTGCACTTAACAAAAATAAACTGATCATTGGTGTTGATTAGCAAAATAATTCCTGTTTGTTCTACAAATTTATCTTGCGAATCAACCTTTAAAAAAATTGATTCAATTGATTGCGATTTTAGAACATTATTAAATTGTTTTTAAAATAATACAAACTTCGACAAAAATCTAAAACGAAAACTGATGACCCATCAGATGAATTTAGCTTTACTCATTAAAATAAAATCATAATCAGTGTAAATAAATCTTCAATCAAATTGATTGATCTCATTCTGTAGCGATAGCCTTAATCGAAAGACATGCTTTGGAGCGTTTCTTGAGGATTATTGATCGCATATATACCTCGATGTGATCACATATACTGATTTCCTTTACATAACGTCTGTGAAACTTTATCACTACCCCATTCCAAATCACACACGGGGAATTATTTTCATTCTGCATTCCATCTCCGACCAGAGTTTATCAGCCAGTGAATCATATTTTGGCTTCTTCTCAGTCTTCACTGCTGTGCCCTGACTATTGATGCCAACCTCTATCTGGACAGAATCTTGCAATGCTTTCACTTTTATTAAAGTATTTATTGCAATCTTAAAGTGACTTCCACAACAATTGCCACTTAAAGATTCTTTAGTTGCCATTTGAATATTCTAAGTTAGCTTAGTAAATATCACTAGTCTACATTTTGTATGTATATCATTGGGTCAGTGTCATTCTCGTCTAGTTCATAGATCTGCTAACCTTCTAAAATCCTGATGGATCTTATCAATATCTTAAAAGCATCACGTACTAGCAGTAATAAATGCTTTGCAGGTTTATATGCACTACCCGACAATCATCAGCAAACATCGATAAAAATTCAAAGGGCTGCCAGTACGAAGACAAAATATTGCACAGTCGAGAGATTTTTTTTAAATTCATGGAAAAAACTTAAAACCATTTTAAAAGTGAATAAATTGGACTTAATACAAAAAGATTCAGTGCAATACACTAGCTCTTCTGCTAACTTTCTACCACCAAAGACAATGAAGTGAAGATATCTGTGTCTAGTTTACAATAAAATATTTCAATCCCCAAAAATTTGGTTAATTTGCAACTAATTAGTCTCAAAAAAGTTTATTTTGTTTTCAGTGAGAATAACGTATGAAGTTGCCTGCTAATTTTCACCATTAAATCTAAGATAAATTACATGAAACAATTTCAAATTACCACATTCTAATATTTTTAACTAAACCGAATGAGCTGAAACATGCAGCCACCTCAGAACCTTTGTGTCCAAGCACAAAAATCATAGCGACATTTAAAAAAATTATCATTATGACAGCAGCTGAACAAGAAATTCAATAATCTTCAAGTCATTTAACAGTAAAAAACTCGCAGGTAAATAACGAACAATAGTAATTATGCCCTTATATAAAATGCTATCTACCAAAACGTAATCAAGAGATTAACAAAACACGCAATTCCGCTAAAATAATGTAATAAACTATGTTTTCTGAGATCAAACTTAAAAAACCTGCCCAAATAAAAGTAACATCCTACGCGATACATTATAGAACAGCAACAAAGCGTCTATAGCAATCAATCATCATCAGAAAAATCAAAATTTGAATTAGAACTTTCTTTATGAAAATTCGAACTGAGGCCATTTAATTTGCGTTCTAACTCAGGAAATGTGGTTACCCATCGTTCCATACGAGCCTAAAAATAGTTGTGGAAATCGTACTTGCGGAATAATATTAACTAACCAAACCATTTTTAGTACTATTTTTAAACATATGAAATTCCCTCCAAAAATACAAAAAATTTTCAAAAAAGTTAAATTAATTGCAATTAGTGAAGATCAATGCATCAAAAAATTACTTGTAATGCATCATTAGCTTCTTTAGAAACAGGTTCACAACCCTGAAGTACACAACGAATAATTTCATCAACTCGAGAAATCAATTGGTCACACAATAAAACATCTTCACTTTGTGGACTCCACGTATCAATTTTAAGCAATTTGTTTAGAAACTGATCTTTTAACAAATCATCTTCCTTATCTGAAATCATGAAATTAGTAGGATTGATATAGTAATTAGAATTACTGCTTAATTTAGCAATATTAATAATCAAACGAGCATTGTAACAGCATTTAAGTACAAAAGTAGAATTCAGCTTATATTGATGGAAGATTACTGAAACTAACCCAACATCTTCAGGGAAAATTTCAATGCAGCCAAAGCAATCTGTGATGGCGGATAAAGAAGCATAACATCTCCAAATAATGCTTTCTAAAAAAAAACTGAATTGCTGTAATGAATCAAGTTTATAGAATAAAAGAACAAAATAATACAATTAGCAAAAACAAGCAAACCTTAAAAAAATCATTAGCATGAGGTCGAACTTGCTCTAAATCAAAACCCAACAATGAACATGTTTTCATTTCAATTAAGTGTCCTTCAAATGGGCGAAAAGGTGCATGTACAGTTAAATGATATCGTAATTTCAGCATTATCTGTGGTTCAAATGACAAAATCGTTTCCGCATTTGACTTAGCAGTACCTGATCTGAAAACAAAAAACTTCAGAAAATATTACTAACTTAATTTTTAATTTAGTTCCATATTGAATTTTTGATGGAAAAACAGTATTTGCGAAAGAACAATTTTTGAAAAGTAAATTTTGATGAGTATTTGAAAGATGAGTATCTGTTTTAAAAATAATAACAAATGGTATAATAACATGCTATATGAAAGGCAAAATAAAAGTAAAACAAAATTACATGCCTAACCTTAAATTTTTTACAAAATCATCAATGGATATGTTAAACTCGTCCACCTTTGCAGCCAAAAATAGACAAGACATCATTACACTTTTTGGTGAATACTCCATCGTTGAATGATGTAAAAAAAATCTCTTAAAATATGCAAATGCAATCCAACGAGTTGATTGCCACATTACTGGCCGAAAATCTTCCGCAAACCTTAAAAATGCTTTTCTGAATATATACTCGAAATAGTTATTAGCTGTTTCTAATATCTTACGAAACAAGTGATATAATTATTACCTTAATTCATATATAAAAAATGGTATCTCAAAAATTTCAAAAAATAAAAAATTCTCTCATATAATAACCTAATGCCAGTTTCTGTGACAATATTTCTCAAAATTGCTTCTTCTTCAGGTGTAAGAAATGTTTCGTTCTCCTCCTCAGTAGCCACTTTTTCATATTTTGCTCGGAATTTTTCATTTGTTGCCTTCCTAAATACATAAGAGATATTTTCTTCGCTTATTTTTCAGTATAATTACTACAAAAAAAGTATTTAATATTTCAGACATTAGAAAAACTGTAATGGAAAAGAGTTTCTTGTTACACATAATATGATTCTATTGGTGATACTGTAGATTGTTAATAAACAATCATTATAATAACTTACATTGTTGCTCAATTGGAAATATATTATGAACGTGATGATAATAATAAACTACAGCTCTAAAACTCACCTAATATCCAAAATTTCTTGTTGTGACGAGAACGTCCATTCCCTTTTTTGTGTACTAGTTGAATACATTGGAAACGTACAAGCACAGCCGAGTAGTATCCGCGTACAGATGTTATGCAGAAAATGACTTAAAACTAACAAAATTCAACTTTATAGAAGGATAAAACATAAATCAACATAAATAATCGATTAATATAGTAACTGGTCTTATCTCTTTTGGTCTTCTTAATGAGTATTTTCAACCAAGAATAAACCATCGTAAATTTACACTAGTTATCAATGATCTATTCAGAAATCTCAGCAGTAATTACATTACCGAAACGTACTATTCGCAGACTACACAGACCTTAATCAAAAACAGCCCTCATAACTGTCCTTCCATATAATTTCTTTACTACGTACTCTCATTCATGTTCTCTTGATGAAGATTGCTGTCATTTGAACACTTATTTTCACGTAGTACAAATAAAACATATAATACGCATGGTAGATACAATCACATTGTAAATACCAACTTTATTAATTCAAGCAATACTTGGCATAAATTGGTAACAAATTCCAGTATCGTGGCATCAACAGAATAAAAGTCAATACACTGTTCAATTTAAATACCATACTCTCAGATATCGGATGAGTTGATAAATTTTAGCAAAATTAAACTCAAACTTTATTACTAAGAAAATCGCAAAAACAGTGAGCAGTAGATTGATTGCCTAATTTTTTAGCTGTTAACATAATCACCATCTTTTACGAGTGAACAACATCTCATTTTAAATTTATCTACAATAATCAGAACAACAATGAATTATTTATACTAAATATGAATATAATCTCGAAATTTTTTCGCAATATTCAACCTATCCTGCATACAACAAATCGTGCTTTGAGAATGATATACCGATGGAATGATGACAAGAAAATTAGCTTAGAAAAGCGATACAATCTTTACTGCTCAACTGCAAACAGCGGAACTAAAAGTTATGAATAAAACGATGAAAGCTACGAAAACCAGACTGAAAATCACTACGTCCAAAATTTCAAACCGAATGGTGGATCAGAAAATCAATTTACCAGACAAATAGCAGGCAAAATATTAATAACCAACTTATTTGAGATGAAAGTAAAATATTAAAAAAGACACTCTGCTTTTACTGAAAATAATCAATATGAAAATAATTCACTAAAAAAGTTCACACATTCCAGTTCACACATCTCCTACTATAAAATGACCAGCGATAAAGCACATGAAGTTTAACTTAAACAGAATACAGACAGATCAGTCGATATAAGATTAAAAGAATATGAATACATGGATTATAAATTTCCAAGAAATGTGCCGATAATAAATATTACGCATCAATTTTCAGACAATAATAATACTAATGATGATCAACTTTAAGCATGCTGTAGGTAGATAAAAATTACGATTAGCTTATCATTTATACTTTTTTGAGATGTTATAAATTTAACTACTGCACTAAATCAGTAGGTAAATGATTAGATCAGCGGAAAACATGATAACTGTGAATGAAAAATTCTTGGAAATTAAAGACCTCTGAACATGTTCACATTCGATGTGAGCAAGTTCAGAGTTAGAGTCCCTCAAATTTCTGCTTTGTGGACAGCAAGCTTGCAATACAATCACCGTTTTTACATAAAGAACAAGAGAAAACTAAACCGACAACTAGTAAAAGAATGAATATAACTTTATGGTATAGAGTTCTGAACATTTCATATGAATCGTGAACTCAGTGAACCTCCCAAAACAAATTGACGAACACTTAAATGAAAACAGTGATACTATCATAATTCTTTTTACTAAAAAACATGCTTAAAAAGTGAACTTTAATATACTCATAGAAAAAAACAATTAAGTTCAATATATGCAGATGGAAGCAAAACCATTAAAAAAATCTTTTAAAGAAGTAATACTCTTAAGGAGTTGTTTATGAATAGTGACTTTCTTTTTTAACTAAAAACAAATGACAAACTATACTACATGAGGTACAAAGCTCTGAGGGGTAAAGTCACTATTCATAAACCCACAGTTTCAAACAAACAAACGAAATTCCAATATGAATTTACAGCAGAACATTTTCTGTCATTTGACAACAGCTCAAACTAAATAGGACATCAACATTATAAATCTGAAACAGAGATTATGACAAAAAATAAATAATCGAACACTAGGTTAAAATCAAGGAACTAAATTAAAAAATTAACTGTTGAACTCCAACTTATTAGAGCCTTGAATTAATGCAATTTTACTGGAAAAAAGTAAAAATACTGATCAAAAAAATGAATTTGGTAAATTTTTCAAATGACCTCAATTTTTTTCTGATATAAAATTATTATCAACGATTATCTTTAAGACAACAGTGAAACTGAAATGAGCAGACCAAAGAATATCCAATGCAACAATAATTAAACTTCTCAAAATGGTCTACTACTGCCACTATTTGAATTTTTGCTAGAAGTTGGTACACTTTCAACTTGTTCATCACTGGAAGTTATCTCTGGCAAAAGAGCACCCAAAACTCGAGACTCGATAACTGGGTCTGGATAATATGGTTTTGGATTCGTCGAGCTGATAATCTGAAGAAAAAAGCCAATAAATGGCTCAGTAATAACGAATACGTCATATTTTTCATGAAAAATAGTGATTCACAATTGCACAATTCCCTATTTAAAAAATTGATCTTTTTAAATAAATAACAAACCTTTCCAGATGTATACATCACACGACCTGGTTTCATTGGATCCACTACTCGTGTAAGATCATCAGCCTAAAAATTAAACATAAATTATGGGAAAATTAGTCTATTCATTTATTCTTTAAATTTTCAAAGCACAATGATAACATTACTGAATGCTGAAAAAACCAATTATAGTAATGGCCAAATTTCAAGTAATACCTACAAATTCGTCATTACAAACAACAAACTGGATTAAAAATAATACTGCTAATTGAGACGAGAGTTGTGATTCCGGCTAAAATTCTTACTTGTCTTTGTGTCATACATGGTACGATATTGCCTGGTAAAACAAAGCCTTTGGGTGCTAGATACAATTTTTCACAATGTCTGTATTGCAGGTGGGTTCGCATATCGGAACAGAAAAATGAACCACAATTACATAACGCACAGCGCAAACGCATTATGCGTAAATGACTGACAGCATGCCGTCTTCCTTCCTATAATTTTGTACTCGACGGAATATAGATGAAATTTTTTAATCAACTTTCAAAATGCAAGTTGTTATAATATTAAGAAATACTGTATTTAAAGTCATAATATAATAACAGGACAATGTGAAAGAGCGCAAAACAGTTCTGGAAAATTCTCAACCGGAAACTCACGAAACCTGTACTGCCATTTTAGTACCCTAATAAACTTGAACTACTCATAATACGAGAACAGTGCAAGGTTTTTAATGAAACATACTGATATGTTGGCGATCATTTCACCGCACTGCATACATTTGTGAACACTTGAGGCGCCATCGCTTGAGGGTGAGGCAGGATGAATAAAGGAGAAAAACAAATCCCGCTGCGTTTCAGTAAGATAGACGGGAATTTCAGAGAGATCTTTTGGAAGGGAAGCTTCACCATTTGAAAAGCGAACAATCTTGAAAAAAATCTTGATAAAAAAAGAGCTTAGAAACTGATTAAAAAATAAGAATGAGATCTGCCTCTGCAATCGAATTTATGAACATGCCTCACATCCAAACACCAAATTTTGAATTACCGAACTTCGGTATAAGATCTATCAAAACCTTGGTCTAGCCAAGAACCTTTTATTCAGAGAATAACTAACGTACCATAACTTCATCATTATTTTCTCGAATAGTCGAAAGATCTTGTTTCCTACGTGACTGTGATCGTGCTTCATTTGATGTTGAATTTCCTCCCTCTGAATTTGATGGTCCCGCCACATCAGCTGATGAAGTACAAGGTGGATCTTCTTCATCTGTTGAAATCGACAGAATTATTTAATAGATGAATTTACTGTTTAACAAATTGTCATGATACACAAATATTTGACAAATCTTTAATGAAAGGATTTAATGATTAAATTTGGATTTCTGTGCACCAGTTGCACAAACTTTTGAAAAAAAATTACTAACCAAAAAGAGACGACAAGTCCTCTCCATATTTCATCCTTCGTGCTCTTGGAGTATATTGCAAACGACATGTTCTTTTGATCTTAAATTAAAATTACTGTACATTCAAGTCTTATTCATGATATAGCATTATGACACACTATTTTATTTAAAATGATTAAATTTTACAGCTGTATCCCCGTTATTTTCGGAGTCATGTGATTCGGAGACAGTTGAAGAATGAAGCGACGACTGTACAGTAGTATCATCAAATACGTTGTTTTTGGTTGAGGCAACACTGTAATGGAACTATGAAATTTTAAAATAATGTTATGGCAAGGAAATAAGAGAAAAGAGATGAGAAAAAAGGAAAGTTGGAACATAAGCAAAACTAACGACGTGTCTTCTTGTGGTGCAGGACTCGATGAACTTGATGTTTCTTCACTGCTAACATCTGACGGAACGCCGGGAATGACACCAGAAGATTCAACAGGTGTTGAGCGCTGGCTATTGCTGTCTATACTTTTTGCACACTTTGATCCAGCTCTCGATGATGGTCGACTTTGTCCCTTATTTTGTGTAAAATCATAATCAACATCATCATCATCACGGCGAGCACGTTTGTTCCTGACAAACATCAAATAGTAGACAAAAATTACTATAACTCTGTATGTGAACACAATTTTATGTAAATAATTCATTTCTTAAAATGCTACTTGAATCCTGTCACATAGTTCTCATCAATCCAATTTGGTTTACGACGCTGGCGCGAAGGACGTTGTTTACGGCCACCTTCTTCAGCCTAAATAAGTTAATATTATACAACAGCAACAGACTTTTAGTAGCATATTCAAATCTTGACTTTTAACATATAAACAAACAATAATTCATAAAAATGTACTTACTTCATCACTGTTCCCACTGAAGTCATCTTTTTCACTATCGTTTTTTACTGGATGATCAACCTTTGACTTCGGTTTGCGTCCTCTGCCACGCTTTTTTGGTAACACAGTTTCTCTTTTTTCCTCCCCATCACTTTCTTGGGCGTCCTGAAAAGTTTGGAAAGCTAAATTTTTCATTGGTAATGGAACAAGATAGTAAAAAAATTAGACATTAGAATAATTATATTCTTGCTGTACTTTATGCTTTAAATACCTTGTCTGATCCAGCTTCTTGACTAATCACTTCATTAGGTAGAGTACGTTTACGCGAAGTGAGTAGAGAGAGATTTTTCTTCTTCAAAACTACTGGCATCCCTTTCGATGGCTAAAAAAAGTTATGGATATCCAATTTTTTTCAGACTTTGATGCGAATACACAACAAAATCGACGACGTAAAACAAACCTGCTCTTTCTCTTTACTTTGACGGCGTCTTTTTGGACGTGCTTGTGACTTTGATGCATTATCATCCTAAATATAATTATTCTAATGTTTATTCTTTAAAAAATTTTTCAGAAAGAAAATGAAAAATGTGAATGAATTATTATCTTTTAGAATCAAACATTTAAAAATTACTTGTTCAAGTTGTGGTTTTGACTCAGTAATTATTTCTGACACCAAAGAATTCTCGATATCATCACAAACGGTTGTTACTAAGCAATCCAAACTCTCTTTAACGATCTGAAATATTTTATGCGTCGTAGACAGCTTTAAATAACTTACAAAGTAAAATCATAAATCAAATTATTAAGACTAACTGATTTAATA